CGGAAAAAGTCACATTGGTACTTGCCGTTGACATATATTATATGTTGAATTAGAATTATTGTACTCACTTGATAAAAAACGTAACGCGCTGGATACCCTCTGGCTGAATACTTGCGCTGCGTACTTAACTTTCATTTTAGGGATTTTTTCTTTCACGACGTGCATTTCTGTTAATTTATTCACTAATCTTATTTCATCATCTCCATCATCTATTTCTAATAACATTTTTAAATGTTCCCACTTAGCCCATTTTGTTTCACCATTTTGTATGTATTTTGCATTTTTTGTTAATAAATTATTTCTTACTCCTTTGAGTAGGTGCGGAGTGTCAAAAAGAGGAAATATTTTACAGGCGTCTACCTCTATAGCATTTGAGTTATATGTATCTCCTCGTCTTAAATACATTGCTTTAGTTTCTTTCTGCAGCTCCTGCACCACTCGCACATTAGTAGTGGCTTGGTCACAGATAGTCGCCACTACTATTAGCCCAGTGGCGTTGATTTCTTTTATAATTATTTTTAATAAATTTTTTAACTCATTTGCTTTAGTCGTAACTTTACAAAAGGTAAAACAAATGGGCTGTTTACTTTTACTTTTAATCCCTTTGATCATGAACACAAGCGCGTGGTCAGCCAGAGTCTTTTTTCTTTGGTGCCCCAAGTCTTCGAATCCGACTATTTTTCCTAGTGACGAGATAAATTCTAGTCCAGGTGCTAGTGACACCTCGTCAAATAATATATTAACGAGTTATTTTTCCTCAGTTAAATTTTTGGCAACGTCCTTTAAATCAGCTAATATATTTTTATTAACGCCAGGTTCTAAGTTAAATGTACTCAGCATCAATTGCAAACAACGTTTCGATGGTAACACGAACATTTTTTTTAATAATTTGTATGCCTTTGGACTTTGCTTTAGAATGGTTAATGCCATTACTTTTTCACTGTTGCTGTAGCGTCTGCCCCTTGCCTTTACCGTACCTTTCAGCTGCATTTTTGTAAAAGTTTGTACTTCTTCAGGCAACTTTTCCATTATTTTCAAAAACGCTTTGTTCATTGATATTTTCTTGGCTGCTTGTATCTTTTTATTGACATTTTTACATTTAATGGACATTTTGGTCAACTTCTGTTTTAACTTGTATATTAATTTGTTATCAGCGTTTGTTTTTCTTAAAGAGCATTTTCGACCTGAAACATGTAAAATAGTAAATTATTTCAAGAAATTA